ACATGTAGTTCATAAGACAAAAAATTCTTATTTTTTGACGTACTATCACCCCCTGAATTTACGGAAGGTCTTTCTGAAACACCCTGTATATTAGGAACTGGAGCCCGAATGGTAAAAAACCTAACCTTAAAAAAAATTAGTTAAAATTAGTTAAATTAAATTAAACTTAAAATGTAATAGGAATGTAGCTTAACTAGCGCCCTCTATGAAATAGCCCAAAAATATTAGACCTACGTATTTGGCGTTCTTAAAAACCCCGGAATACCAAATTTCATAAAAATATTTCGCACCGTTTGGAATTTTTCGTAGAAATTCTATTTAAAAAATTTTATTTTGACGGTCTGTATCTCGAAAACAAGAGGAGATAGACATATAGTTCATACGACAAAAAATACTTATTTTTAGATTCCGAGATACAGGGTGTTGAAAGTATTTAAAAATATATTAATATTTGAAATAAATTTGGAACAGTCAATATAAGGTTCTTAAAATTTGGCAGTTATTGTACGTTGGTAAATAGCTGCATATTTAGTCGGTTTTTATCTGCCGCCAGTGGCGTAGTAAGGCGTGAGTCAGTCGATGTTTTCGTCATAAAATGTAGAACGCCAATGGATTTTTTAAATTTTTATTATTTTCGGACTCTCCCAACATATTACAACATAAAAGATGAATTTTTTGTACAATATATGCCAAATTTCAAGAACCTAACATCGACTGTTTCAAATTTATTTCAAATATTGATATATATTTTTAAATTTTCAACATCCGGTATCTCGGAATATAAACGTTTCCGGCCACATGTTTATAGGAACTTTTTTTTCTTTAAATGCCATAAGAAATTGTGTTCTGAAGTTACGAACCCTGTATTTAAGACAAATCGTAAATATCGACCAGAGAATTGAATCTTCAATTTCAACGATTCTTCGAGAGAAAAGAAATATGCTTCATCAAGAAGTCTAAACTGACGATGTGACAACCAATTTGGAATTTGTTCAACCATTGAAACAATATTCTTTCCCCCTCTATTCAAATAGGATTAAATCCTATTTTCTGTAGCCATATCAAATACTGATTCAGTTATTGTTTTAGGAAGTTCCTAAATATTTTTCGTCTCCCTTTCCTGTCCACTTACGTACAACAAACCTTTGAGAATCAGTTAAGTCGTTCCGTGTTCAGTTCAATGATGTATAGTTGGATCCAAGTCCAGTCCACGTTATCAAAAGATTAGAAGGTATCTACAGGACAGTGTGTTCGTTCTGCTATGGGAGGCTTATTAAAAATTTTTATTTCTCCATCTGTATATATTTGTTATTTTAATCTTTGAAGAAGTGATAGTCAAGCTATTAAAGTTTTATATAAAAAGTTTCTGTTTTATTCCAGCTTTAAAAATGTAATTGGTTAATCCTCATATTTTGTAGCCAATCAAATAATGTTCTCTTAAATCACTACCATGGCAATGAAAAAAATATTTTTTATAATGATACCAGTGTCATGGAGTGTACAAACGACTCCGATATAGCAAAGGCATTTATATCTGCCAATAGGTAAATATTACTGCAAAAAATACGTTTATGTCAATAGATCAGGGCAGATCTATTGACATAAAATATCCCACTTGGATTTAAGAGGGGGCAAGCTAATTTTTGCTGGAATACCTTCAGTACAACTTACATAATAAAAGTGTAGACCACTGATCTGGGCAAAGTCCGGAACATTTTCAATATTGCGAAAATGTTTAAACATTTTTTAAAAATACCTATTTTATATTAGTTTTTTACTTATATCTTGGAACCTATGCATTTAGGAAGAATATTGAAGAGGAAAACGTTTTTAAAATTGAACTTTGCACAATATAATGTAAACATGTTTAAATTTATTACCGATTTTGCAAAATAGCAATAATTGATGAAAAAAAGGCAAAATAATCAAGTTTTTTGGATAATTTTTTAAAATTATTTTAATTGCTCCTAGGGCATTCTAATATTGGTAAAAAAAACTTTAGAATATAATAAAACAACACACCAAATTTCGTTTTCGCAAAATATTTTTTTGAAAAAAATGTTCGACTTTTCAAAATGTTGCACAGCCTTAAATAAAGAATCTAGATACTTGAAAATTTTTTCACATAGAAAAGACCACTCAACCTTTCAAATGGTTTTTGAAAAATTGAAATCGGTTTATTAGAACGGCCACAATAAATTTTTATAGTTAACACTCTTTTTTTTTATTTTTAAACAATTAGATTACATTTATCAATTTGCAATTTAGTTTTTTTTTTAAATTATAATTTTAAAGTACTCGGAAAGACGCTTACTTTAAAAAAAGAAAAAGTTAAATTCAGTTTATTGGTTCTCGAGATATAAGCGGTTAAAGTTTATTGGCATTTACCATTTATAAACAATTTAACAGAAATCTTTGATCCAGTGGCTTCGCTTTTCCGAGTTGCTGGAAAAAATTTTCATATCCATTAGTTATCGGCAACATAGATAAATCAACGGAAAAGCTGTCGCTCGCATGCGCGAAAAGTGACTCAAAACACGAAAAGTGGGGAAGGGGGCTTTCGCTCCGAGACTGAATTCGGAAATTCAAAATGGCGAACATTTACTCGGCTTCTAATTGGCCAATATCGATCTTTTTTTATTTAATTCGATGTCTCGCGAGCCAAGGAATTCGAATATCATAATGCCAACTGACTAATTGGCACATATTTTGTTATAAACAGAGTATTATTTACGCATTAAATATACTGTATATTTTACCCTATGCTATTGCATTTTTTCAATGAAATAATTTGTTTACGTATATATGTCAACACTGAATATGAATGTATTTAGTTACAATTATTACAATTATTTAAATAATTTTGGTTTAAACAAATTAAAAGAAAATAAAAGAAATATTTGGAAATTATTTCTTTTGTTAAATGCAGATAAAATTAAAAAAAAAGTACATTAAAATTACAATTTTTGAAAAAAACTAAACTGTAAATTGATAAATGTAATCTAATTTAGAAATAAAAAAAAGAATGTTAACTTTAAAAATTTACTGTGGCCCTCCTAATCAACCGATTTCAATTTTTCAAAAAACATTTGAAAGGTTTTCTATGTGAAAAAATTTTCAAGTATCTAGATACTTTATTTGAGGCTGTGCAACACTGAAAATTCGAAAGAATTTTTTCAAAAAAATATATTGCGAAAACTATAGAACCGATATTAATGAAATTTGTTGTGTTGTTTTATTATACTCTAAAGTTTTTTTTACCAAAATTAGAATGCCCTCGGAGCAATTAAAATATTTAAAAAAAAAAATATTCAAAAAACTTGATTATTTTCCCTTTTTTTTCATCATTTATTCTTATTTTGCAACATTGGTAATAAATTTATACATTTTTAACTTCCATTATATGTGGATTTTTTAGTAAAAAGAGAATTACAAAACTTTTCTAGTTAGCGTCCTCTACCGTTGCGCAGGAAAATAATATTTATATTCCCATATCATAAATATAAATTTTATTAATAGTTCTTTAAAATAAGCCGTCGTTTATTGAAATCGATTAAGGTATTTAGAACAAAAAAAAGTTCAAACAAAAGTTGTGAAGGATTTAACAATGTATTTAAAAAGTGTATTCTCAATTTAGGTTATATAAGCGGAATTTCGAAAAAAAAACACTATTTTCTGCAACAGTGTAGCAATTGCGCACCCAAGCGGTTAAGTTACAAACAGATTTTTTACCTCATAATCGTAGCACGTCTAGTTTCCTATACAGGGTGATTCACAACTTATCCAAAAAAATTTGGGAATAGATGCGGCATGAGAAATGTAGTCAATATCGTAAAAAAATTTTTTGTAAAATNTAAAACATCCTTCAAAATTCTAGTTTGATAACACTTTGAATTTAATATATTGGTAAGTTTATTACAGTGACTCCCAAATGTCAAAGTTTCATCTAAAATGATGCCTAAAAACGAAACAGTATTACTTTTCTCGATACTGATATTATTAAACTTTATATTTAGGGAGGATGATATCCGGCTTTGAGGTGTATGAAACATTACATAGTTTGTTTTAGCACTATTAAAGAATAAAGAATTTTCACTAAACCATCTACATAAATCGGAAATACCTGCGTTTATGTTATTTTGAAGAGATATTTCACACTTATTTGAAAAGAAGAGCGAGGTATCGTCAGCATATTGTGAAACAGATGCATCAGGAATTATTTGTGGCAATTCGTTAATATAAATAATAAACAGTATGGGCCCTAGAACAGAACCTTGGGGGACACCAATATCATTACTTAATGTGGAAGATATATAAGTGGTTTTTTTATTACTTTCATATTTGTGTATTTTTACCATTTGCTTTCTTCCCCTTATATATGAAGAGAACCAAGCATGTGCCAAACCTCATCCCATAAGCCTGGAGCTTTGTTAGTAGCAAGTCATAGTTAACACAATCAAAAGCCCGACTAAGATCGCAAAAAATTCCAGTCGGACTATTACTTGCTTCAATAGCATCCATGTAATCTAATTAATTTAGTTTTGTCGGTATTTAAATATAAATTATTACAACTGAACCACTTAGACACATTGTACAATGTATTTTCTAGATTAGTAGTCAGGTCTTTTGTTGACTTATTTGAAATAATTAATGATAAATCATCAGCATACATTGTGAAAAAATTATTACCTATCNATTTTTTTTTTTGATAAGTTCTGAATCACCCTGTATACAGCCGCTTCGTACCGTTAATGGATCACCCTGTATATCTACATATATCTTTTAAGTTAGATTTTTGTATTTTATTTTATCTATATTTTTTTATTTTGAATTTGTAACTGTAACATTGCAAAGATGACCCGCGAAATTGGTCGTCCAACAAACTTTGTTGGTTCATTATACATATATCGGTATTCAGAAACTGTATTAATAAGACCTCAATTCGATGACTGTAGAAATGTCTGAAATATAGCTCAAAACTTCAAACTTCACAAGAACATTGTAGTGAAACCGTATGTCAAAATTCCAGTGAGTAGAACTGCAGCAATATGGCGGAGACAGGTAAATATATTTTCATGAATACAACTTTTTCACTAGCAGAGTGTAGGCAAATCCGTAAAATATAATTCAAATGAGATCTACTTAATTCCAAAGAAAGAAATGATAAATAATTTTCGATGACAAGTGCCTGTCATAATTGTCAATATAATAATATTTAACTGAAAGGCACTGGGTTTTAACACTTTAGAATGTATTTTTCTTTCACGTTATGTAAGTAAGGCACGACATTTTTAGTTCGTTTTCAGTAACGTACGGCAGGGTGGGTGAGGGGAAGCCGCAAATATAATACTCCAGTCGGGTTAGACAAAAAAAAAGGGCTTAACCGGGAAAAAATTAGGGACCACAATTTTATTGTTCTAACCTTTAGAAGGGGGTCAATAGTAGCGTAAATTCAGAATCGCGACTGAATTCCACCCCTGCGTCAGCCGTCATCTTGAATTTAAGGAATAATCGTTTTTCCTCAATATCTCGGCCATTTTCAACTTTACAACAAAAATGGTAAGGACTTAAGTTGTTGCAAATGCGATTTCCTACAACTTCTTTTATTACAAATTTTATCGTGCGATCGATATTTTTCAAGTTAAGGGGGAAAATAGTGACAAAGTATAATTATTGAATTATCTCGTTTGTTATTGACTTTACGACATAAATGTACATAAACAAAGTTGGAAAGAATTATATTTTCTACAATTTTGATCTCTTTGATTTTTTCGCTACTACCAAAATTTAAGGTCCTACGCCTATGGCAAGCCTAACTAAACTCAAGGGATCAACATTCCATAGGCCTGACGTCTCCGCAAGCGTAGGACCTTAAATGTTGGTAGTAGCGAAAAAATCAAAGAGATCAAAATTGTAGAAAATATAATTCTTTCCAACTTTGTTTATGTACATTTATGTCGTAAAGTCAATAACAAACGAGATAATCCAATAATTATACTTTGTCACTATTTTCCCCCTTAACTTGAAAAATATCGATCGAACGATAAAATTTATAATAAAAGAAGTTGTAGGAAATCGCATTTGCAACAACTTAAGTCCTTACCATTTTTGTTGTAAAGTTGAAAATGGCGGAGATATTGAGCAAAAACAATTCCTTTGAAACCAACTCCCGCAAGCTCCTACGCTCGCGTCTGTACAGCAAGCGAAGCACCTTAAATATTGGTTATAGCGAAAAAATCAAAGAGATCAAAACTGTAGAAAATATAATTCTTTCCAACTTTGTTTATGTACATTTATGTCGTAAAGTCAATAACAAACGAGATAATTCCATAATTATACTTCGTCACTATTTTCCCCTTTAACTTGAAAAATATCGATCGCACGATAAAATTTGTAATAAAAGAAGTTGTAGGAAATTGCATTTGCAACAAGTTAAGTCCTTACCATTTTTGTTGTAAACTTGAAAATGGCCGAGATATTGAGCAAAATCGTTTTTTCCTTAAATTCAACATGGCGGCTGACACAGGGGTGGAATTCACTCGCGATTCTGAATTTACACTACTATTGACCCCCCCTCCGCCTAAAGATTTGAACAATAAAATTGTGGTCCCTAATATTTTCCCGGTTAAATGACAATCCAACTGGGCTATAAAAAAGTGGCCAGAGAGGGAACACAGTGTTTCTTTTTGACATAATTTTTATGTTAGAATGTTTGTACTAACGTAATACATGTTACGTGTATTCTGCATGCATTATATCTTGTAGCGGAAACAATTCGTCGGTGTTATCCAGATGTAGATAAATTAATAGCACAACACAAGGCAGTCATTCTCACCAACGGTGTCCTGGCATTCCAGAACCTCCACAACCCGTTCTTACGTGATGGGGGACATGGTTAGAGGCATAATTTTATTATTTTAAATATTTTCAAAAAATAAAATCCTAAATTTTAAAATTCGATGCCAAAAAATCTGCCTTTATTCGGAAGAGCCAAATAAAATTTCAAGATAGTCGAGTTGAAGCATAGTTGTAAAAAATATTCACAATTACATTCCAATTATGGATGCTATAAAAAAAATTACAAAATACTGCAGTATCGTTAGATGAATCACTGCAAATAGTAGACATAAACAGTGCTATACAGGGTGTGGCGTGTATAATCTATAAATATTAAATTACAGCTTCCTGATGATATTTGTAATAGAAAAATCTTATACGGAAAAGTTCTATCGTTTTTTTTTTTTTTNACTGAAATGTGGTCAACAGTGGTTTTAATAAATTTGTTAGATATGCCATCATAACCACTAGATCTCTTATTATTTAATTGCTGGATTATGGTTTTTATTTCCACTGGAGTTACCGGTGACATAAAAAATGACCTCTCTAGCACAACACTTTTTGTGCAGTTGACAGATAGATCATGACCAAAGTGGTCTTGGATTTTACGCTCAGCGATTGTCGCGAAATAATTTGCAAAATACTCAGCCACCTCGTTTTGATTATGAGAAATTGTCTCGTCAATTTTTATACTAATGTTTTTAGGCCTTTGTTGAGCCTTACCTAAAGTAGAATTTACTACTCGCCATATACCCTGTGCAGTATTGCTTGCATTTTCAATTTTTGTTATATTATATTGTCTTTTAGCTGCGCGGATAGATTTATTATGATCCCTTTTCTTAGATTTGTACAGCTCAATCAGTTCAATATCATTTGCATTTTTAGCTAATATAAACAAATCACGGAGATCGGCTGCCTGCTTGACAATATCAGCGGTTAACCATCTTTTTACACTATTCCGTTCGGTGTTATTTAAATATTTACAAATAATGGGGCATGCCCTATCTAAGCAGTTTAGAAAATTTGTGACAAACTTATTAAACGATTCATCGACGCAAGTAATAAAAATATTGGACCAATCTACTCTCTCTAGTAAATTCTTTAAAATCACCATATTATCCTCTGAGGTACACCTGTAAGAAACCATTTGTCTATCGTCATGTAAACAAATATTTGACTTTGATATTTCAGTCTTGAAAACAATGACTTGAGCTAAATGATCAGCAATCCATATATGGGGCATATAGACTGTGAAATTTATATTCGAAAAATTACAAACTAGATAGTCAATCTGAGTTATTGAGATTTTTCCATTACAACTTTTTGCAATCCTCGTAGGTTCATTAAAAATTAGCTTAATTTTTTAGTTTGTGCACAAACTAGTTTTACAATGAACCGAGAAAACAATGGATTTGCTATTTGAACGTGTCGATAAGGTGTTAGTGTATGGTGCAGCCGGAGAAAATCGATGTGTCGATGGCCACTACGTCACCCCCCATGTGCAAATACAATCCTACAGTGCGTTCAGCGGCTGCAAGATACGGGAAGTGTTATTCCTCGAGGAAAAGGACGTGGTCAGCAAGTGAACCTTAATGTTGAAGATGCAGTGTTGGAAAATCTTGACAACATAATAGGCGATGTACTTGTGGGTCCCTATTTCTTTGAAAGACGACTAAATGGACCAACATATGCTGACTTTTTGGAAAACCGTTTGCCTGAATTATTGAACGATGTGGCATTACAAGTTCGGGCACGCATGTTTTATCTTCAAGATGGGGCTCTTCGAGAAGTAACGACACTTATGAATGAAATGTTTTCTCAGCGATGGATTGGACGCTTTGGTCCTGTGCCGTGGCCACCTCGGTCACCCGATCTAACTCCAATGGACTTTTATCTTTGGAGTCACTTGAAGTCATTGGTTTACAATACTCCAATTGCTACGGTGGAAGAATCGCGAAACAATTAGGGGAATACTTGAAATTTGGGAAAATGTTCACCAAAATTGGGTGCGTCGGTGCCATGCCTGTATCCGCGCTAATGGGGATCAATTTCAACATTTACTCTAGAAATGGTAAGTTTTATTTCATTTTGTTCCATATTTTAGTTTGTTTAGTGCACACAGTTGGCAACTACAGATGCTTACGGATGTGGTTTTGTTTGCGAACTCTTGCAGTAACAACAATGCATTTTAGATAGTAATTAATAGTAATTACCATTAATTATTATAATAAGAAAATATCAGTTTATTTAAATATCAATTTTTCTTAGTTTGTACTTTTGCATTGAAAAATTCCCCAAAAATTGAGAAGTATCTATCTTTCAGTGACGATTTGATTACGTGGCTAGTCTACAGCACGTGACTCATCGTACAGCATACGGACAGGACCGTTCCAGAGGAAATATTTTAATCCATAATTGAACTTTAATTAACGAAAAAAAAACTTTTCTATTATAAATATCGTTAGGAAGCTGTGGTTTAATTTTTATAGATTATACACGCCACACCCTGTATATATGCCTTAAGTGGCGAGACAAGTGTGACAATGTGTTAAGAAAAATCCAGATTTCTGCAGATTAAGACACCTCCATAGCAATTTCCTTTCCACGGATTCATTAATTGCTTTTAGATATTATTTCAAATATGCATATAACGTCATTAGATTTAGAACAATAGTTTTCGTTATATGTATAAGAATATTTTTTCTCCGTTGCGGACATCTATTAAAGAATCTACTGTGGAGACATATGTAATGTTCCAAATATTTGCCAGAGTTCATCCAGATTTACGGAACCGGATAAGCATTCCACAATATTATAAAACTATTTATTAAAAACGCAGTAGGACGCCCCTGCTTTCAAACTGAAATGTCGTGCCTTATATATGTCATTAAAAAAACGTCTAACAATGTGTTTAATAAATAATGGTTGGACATATGTATTAGGGACTACCACAGACATTTCAGACTTCGATATATTATACCTTCAAAGAATGTTAAATGTAAAGTATCAAATTCCCTCACGCACCGTCATTGATAAGCATAAGCTTCCTACAATACTCGCCAACACTGGTATCTCTGCAAATAACGACACTTCTACCAATAATAAACTTGCTACTGCTAGCAATAATACACCTGATGCCACTGGTAGCAATGATATATTCCCCACCGACACCATATCTACTACTAATGACATCCGTGATGTCAATTATATACACGCTACCAATCACATGTTCACTACCAATGATATACCTGCCTCCACTGATATCAACCATCCTTTAGAAGTTACCGCTGCTGCCCCAGCAAGCGATAATAAGGCGCAAACTAATGACCCAGGAACTAGTACCAAATTTAGGTGAGTGATATGTTAATAAAACTTTTTTCGTTCAATACCGTATGGTGGTTCCAGCATCGCCAAGGTTCAAATTAAGCCCGGTAAAACCATCGATCCCAATCAAGAAGAATCGGCCATCTACTACTTGAGCAGGTTACCAGTTCTGAAGGAAAGAGCTGCTCCCTATGTCCCTATGCCTTACTCGTTTAGAGTCAGTGCCTCTTGTAACAGGATCAAGATTCAGAATATGTGGGGTAGATGTCCGCCTTTCCATCTTCTGTTCGACCATACGATTGCGGTTCTTTGGCTGCTGTTCTCCCCGAAAGACTACAATTGTCCTCTAGGTACAGTTATTTTCTAAGTTACAATGTGTATGGTCAGTCAAAAGCTATTATTTTTTTTTATTAACACGATTTTACTACCTTAAGTCGATGCTTTACGAAAGCACCTTCATACGGGGAATATGCACTTTTTTGTAGTATTTCTTTCACAAAAGGTAACTAGATAACTTATTGCACTAGACAACTGAGATTAGTTAGGGCCTACCAAATTAACAGTTAAAAATTATTTACCTACAGCTAGTACAGTATAGGATTGCAGTACCTAGATATTTTTCTAGCGTATTGGAATCATACTTGACAAACGGAAATTCCAATAAAATGTGTATCTATGTATAGTGACAGTGCCTATAACGATCATAAATCAACTTTAGCTAATAATTTTTGTTTTATATTTAAAAAATGAAGAGTAAAAAGCGAGCCTATTTAAGGAGGTATATCGGGGTCCGAGGGAAGTGAGAAGCGCAGGGGGGTCCTATGATTTTCTTATGGGACTAAAGCCCGCTGCCAATTTGAAAAAATTAAATTTTATTGAAATTATTTGCGATAAACATCATCTGTATAGCAAAGAAATCTACCCATATGCACATAGCATACATATTAACTAATTAACCACATAAATATTTAAGTAGTTTTAAATTATATTTCATGAACGCATAAAGACTATGTAGATGTGGCAACAGCGCTAATAATTGACTAGCAGTTGTACACACTGCGAACCTGCAGACCTCGGACATCGAAGATATTGCGCGTCAAATTCGGGTAAAGATGCGTAAGCGTTCAGAAATGTGTTGTGTGTAAACTATGTACAATATAATTATTATATATAGCAAATATATCGTATTATCCTCGCGAAGATTTGTATCCTTTATTTAAAATCCGTAAATCATGTGAACTGGTAAAACAACGAGAATTATGTTAATTTAGTTCTAAAGAAAT